GTCCCCAGTTTTGGTGAGGTATTACCACCGGGTCACCTTGGACAAATCAACTCCCTCATGGGCCCTGATTTCCATATCTGGAAACGTGGACATTCAACTTGAGGATTGGGAGCTTCCTTGGCTCAAAAAAAAAAAATCCTATGATGTATATTTCAAAATCAAGATGGTAAAGTCTTAATAAAATGCATGTGTAATTTATCTATGTCATATATTAATTTATTAACACTTCCTCATTGATAATTAGATAATCATTTTCTCCCACATCTCAGTGGGGAAATGGCTCTCTTTCCAGATCATTGACAGGAAAGGCTGAAGGAATCATATCTTCAAGCTGCCACACCAAGCTGCTGCCTCCATCACTAACGCGTTCTACCAGCAGCATTTGGCATCTGTGCGTTGAAGACCTGGGGCCGGATTACATTTCTAAATCAAAACGCAGTAAAGTTCACATTCAGAAGGATTTCACCATAATCCAGTAGTACCTTAATGGGCCTTTAAGCCTCAAACCACATTTTAACCCGTGAATTCTCAGGGAGAGCTTGGTCATATCATTTTTCAATAGAGACATTTCATGGTTTATTGATTTTATCCAAGAATTTAAAAAGGCACTTATAGAAAAAAGGAGTTTGGCTTAACTTGTAAAACTAAATGGATCCTGAGCCCTAGATTTAAAGGAGTCTTGCTTGCTAAACACAACAGTAAATGAATTACGCATAAACAACCGGGCCCAAGTGAACAATGAAAATTGTTTCCTCTACAGCTACAGAAAATAGCTGCACTTGGTTGAGGACAAGAGTATTTCTCCTTTATGCACAGCTAAAAGAGTATGTATGGACATACATACAGTATGGACAGTATGGACATAACTCAGGCTTTGCAGCTTTTTGGCCAAAGCACACAAATTGATTCTGGAATGTCTAGGGCTAAGCAATAGACCATGCGCTCATTAATGGACATGAGTCTTGAGCTAGAAGGTTGTTCTCACCGTTCTGAATTTTAAAAGAAGAAGAAGGCAAAGAGTGGGGGAGTGGGATGAAAGTAAGAAAGAAAAGAAGAAATGGAAGGAAGCACTGTATTCATGGGTGGAGATGAGTTGCTTCATGGCCTTTAGTCCGTCCAGCCTGGGTATCTCAGCAATGGTTCTGTTTGGAGCCATCTCATCTCTTGATGAGATGAAGAAGGCAGAATGCCCCACCAAGGTAAGGTGGTGATAGGTTGCTGGACCATTGGCCTTGGAAGACATCTGAAACTTGAGACATCTTTATTTAGAGCTAAGAAAACTAAGGCAACTGAAGACCAAGAGGCAGGGAAATTGCCTGAGTCGCTCGGCTTGGAAGTGGTACACCTGGTACAGAACGCTCATCTGCCCCTTCTCAGGCGGCCACCCATTTCATCCCCGAGGTCATCCCAGGATGCACCCACAGCCATCTTCTCCTACTGCAACAACCTTGGGTCACTGTTCAAACGTGAAAGGTCAAAATAGAAGAGACTTTGGATCTTAACAGTAAGGTGAACTGAATTGAGATTAGAATCAGAACCAAGTTACCCACTTACACTCAACAGCTACCACCTATCAGCTGGTGCCAGCAAGGTGCTCTTTATAGCAGAGAAAATGAAGGTCAGCATCACATCATTTAATCAGAATCATCAAGTTTTTGTGAACACGTGCCATGGGGAGAGAAGTAGGAAGAGGAGACGGGAAGCAGAATGGAGGAAAGGAAGACATAGTCACAAGGTGCCAGGATTATTTGGTCACCAGAGATCAAACCCACGGAGGCTCATACATGAGCGGTGTGTATTCCCATCTCCTAACAACTACAGAAGAAACAGTAGAGGAAAAGCCACCAGAACTCTAGCTGATGGAAGACAGTGTACAACACTCTGCCCTTGTTCAGAGATGTTTTTGTATGTTATCTAAAATCGGAAATCCAAACAGAGAGGTCAAATATAACAGCTGAGGTGTCAAAATATTTAATCCACTTTCTGATTCAACAAACATGTTCCCAGTGCCTGTTGTCCGCTGGGTTCTGCAGGGCACTCGGGCAGGGCATTCGTTCAGTAAGGCCAGTAGGCTCCACGTCTGCATGGCACTTTGAACCTAGTGCAGTGTCAGATACGCTACCTAGGTGCCAAGGGGGAAAATTGGTGGTGGGGGAAAAGGAGGTCTAAATCTGGGCCAAGAAAGGTCTTTCTAAGGAGGTGACATTTCATGTGAGACCTGCACCGGGGGCAGATCCCCACCCTGGGGAGAATGAAGGTGCATCCCAGCAGCAGATCCAGCAGCTGGAAAAGTCTGGAAGTGGGAAATGGCTTCGTGTGCCCGGAGCTAAAGGAAGGCAAGTGCAGAGGAGAGGGAGGCGAGTAGTGTAGGGTGAGGATGGAGCCCCATGGGCCTGGGTGGAGGGTTTGGATTCTCTTCTGAGCACAGTGTGAGCCCACCAGAGGGCTTGCCAACAGTCAAGAGAAAGGCGCACAAAAGTCTGTGTGTAGGTTCAGCACTGGGCAAGCCCTGCCTTCCGGCTCCCTGAGCACTCACTGCTTTGTCTCCCTGGGCTGCTTTCATAGCAGTCTCTCCAGCCTTGATTTTCTCAGCTCCTTCTCTCCATGGCTCTCTTGTAGAGCTTCAGAATGAATAGAAACAAAGGGAAAAGCCCACCCTGAGGGGCCCCAGGCCTGCCTTACTTGGTGTGCAGAGACAGGGACCACAGCGCAGCTATGAACAGCCCTCTGCAGCCTGAAGCAGAGGGAGGGTGTGGTGGGAGGCCAGATACTTGCTGCCATGGTGAAAAGGACCAGCCCAGGCATCTCTGCAGACCCTCCATTCCTCAGAGAATGGGGCAAGCGAAAGGCAGCTGCAGGGAAACAGAGGTGTCACAGTAACACACCCAAGATGGGCCAACAGGCACTTGCCTCTAGAACTGGAAAAAGGGTCTGGGGCCAGAAGACCCTGGTTCAAGTCCCTACTCAGGCTTGTGGCAAAGTCTATAGCCTATAGGTTTGGCTTGCCCCCAGATGCTCTCCATACTTGTCCACTCTGGTCTATGGGAGGGCTGATTCCCTTGCCCTCGGCTCCCTGTTGGGTCTGGCCAATGGAAATAGGAGGACATGAGGAAAGGGAGATCCTGGTGTTTATGCCCCAGGAGTATGTGTTTACTCAACAGCTGTGGATTGTCAGCTGCTGGCTTTCTTTCCTGAAGACCTTGGTTCCTGGAAGGCAGCCCTGTCCTACCTTCCCCTCCAAATCTTAACATCCTTCTCCCTCTACTCCTACGGGCCAAGCGGTAGTCATGGCTCTCATTATTGCAAGCACTGGATGCTTCTCCATCCCTTATTGGCATCCTTACCACTGCTGGAAACCTCCATCAATACATCAGTAATACCTTCATTAACCTTGTTGCCATGGTGAAAACATCATGCTAAATGAAAGAGGCCAGACACGTACGCATGCTGGATGATTCCATTTACATGAACTTTTCAGAACTGAGAAATCCATAGGGAAAGGAAGCTGGCTGGTGGTTATCAGGAGCCACGGGAGGGAGAAATGTGGAGAAGCTGCTTAATGAATAAGGGCTTTCACTTTCAAGTGTTGAGAATGTTTTGGAACTGGCTAGAAGTAGTGTTTGCACAACAGAGAACATATTAAACACCATGTACTTGTTCCCTTTAAAATGGTTAATAGTAGGGGCACCTGGGTGGCTCAGTCAGTTAAGCATCTGACTTCAGCTCAGGTCATGATCCCACAGTTCATGAGTTTGAGCCCCACATTGGGCTCTGTGCTGACAGCTCAGAGCCTGGAGCCTGCTTCACATTCTGTGTCTCCCTCTCTCTCTGCTCCTCCTCCTCTCATGCTCTGTCTCTCTCTCTCTAAAAAATAAATAAACATTTAAAAACTTTTTAAATAAAAACAAAAAAATGGTTAATGGTATGGTATATGAATTTCACCTGAATAAATTATGTTTTCTTAATTTCAACATACTTATCTAAAAAAATTTCTTTGTTGTTTATCTGAAATACAAACTTCACTGGGCATTTGTATTTTGTTTGCCCACCCTGAGGAAGGAGCTATAATCCACAGCCACTGTTTCTCAAACATATTTTACCAGAGAACCCCTTTCCATGGGCATGTAGGGGATCTGCATTCCAGAGTCCACACTCCCGCAAACACTGGGATAGTGCTGAAGGACTGCGCCTTGGGTCAGACATCAGGGACTCAAAAACTCCTTCTTGTCTTCGGTTTCTTTATTGTATAAACTGAGCAAAATAATGATGCCCCCTCAGGGCTAACCAAGAGGTTTAAATTAGATAATGTAATAAAAAGTTCAGACCAGGGGCGCGTGGGTGGCTCAGTCAGTTAAGCATCTGACTTTGGCTCAGGTCATGATCTCACGGTTTGTGGGTTCAAGCCCTGCACTGGGCTCTGTGCTTCAGTGGGGGAAGGACAGAGAGAGAGAGAGAGAGAGAGAAACAGAATCTGAAGCAATCTCCAGACTCTCAACTGTCAGCACAGAGTCGATGCAGGGCTTGAACCCATGAACAGTGAGATCATGACCAAGCTGAAGTCGGACGCCTAACCGACTGAGCCACCCAGGCATCCAAAGCCAGTAACATTTCAGTGGGACTTAGAAAATCTTTGCCTTCAACCAGGAAAATGAAAAGAGTCAGCCAAATATAATTTCTGGCAAAGAGAGGTACCATTTCAGAGGGGAAGAGGTGTGTACAAAATGAGGGAGCCCCTTTGCAGGCTATTCATAAACTCAGATTCATCTTTCCACCTGGTTATTTTTTGTCATCATTTCAGGGCAGATATTTGGAGGTTGATCCTCAGGGATCTCTGAAGTAGCCCAGAGGCCTCACAAAGGGGCACCGTGAAACCTGGGCCTTCCTTCTGCTACACTCACACACATCCCGGCTGAGTCACCTCAGCCACCATTTTGTAGCTGCAAGGAGTTCATGTGCTATTGGAACCCTGGCCCTGGGGAAAGAGTCAATAGAGCAGGGATGCCTGGCTGGTTCAGTTGGTGGAACATGTGACTTTCAATCTCAGAGTCGTGGGTTCAAGCCCCACATTGGGCATAGGGATTGCCTTTAAGAAGAGATTTTTAATAAAGAGCCAACAGAGCAAAGACAGAAAAGATATTTTAAGACACAAGTAGTGGGGCTCAAAAGGGAGGCTGTGGAACAGGGTATTTCAACCTTATTCAAATCTCACTGTATTAGTTTCCCATAGCTGCTGTAACAAATTTTCACAACCTGGTTAGCTTAAAACAACAAAATTTATTGTCTCACAGTACATTAAGACGAGAAGTCCAAAATCACGGTGTAGACAAGATCATTTACTCTCTGATGGCTCTAGGGGGCATCCTTCCTTGCCCCTTCCTACTTCCTGGCTGTTGCCAACAATGCTGCCCTTCCTTACAATGGCATCAAGCCAATCTCTGCCTCTGCTATCACACACTGTTCTCCCTGTGCACCTTCACATCATTTCCCTGTGTGTGTGTGTGTGTGTGTGTGTGTGTGTGTGTCTGTCTGTCTGTCTGTCTGTCTCTGTATCCTACCTCTTCTTAGCACTCATATTGGATTAGGGACCCACCCTACTCCAACATTGCCTTCTTCCCTACTTGTATGTATTACAACTGTGTTTCCACATAAGGTCACGTTCTGGGGAGGTTATGAATTCTTGGGGGATAATCTTCAACCCAGTACAGTCACTTTCAGGATAATTATAGCAGACCTAAAGGTACTTACTATGAGTCAGGCACTGCTTAATGTGCTGTATACACACTGACTCACATAATCCTTGGAATGACTCTAAGAAGTAGGTATTACTATAATCTCCACCCAACAGATGAGGAAATTGGGCTACAGAGAGGTTAAGTAACTTGCTCAAGGTTATACAACTAACAAGGAATAGAGTAAGGATTTGAATCCAGGTGGAAACTTCTAGAATCTATCCTCTCAACATTACACTGGGTTATCTCTCAGAAGGTTTGGATGGTCAACTGCTTAAAACCTACCTCCCACTGGGTGTTATATGGAAACCAACTTGACAGTAAACTATTAAAAAAATAAATAAAATAAATAAAACCCACCTCCCAGACAAGGAGCCTCATAATAAAAATAGTAGCAACCAAAAGTACAACAAGAAAAGCTAACATAAGTGCTTGGTGGGTAGACAGTAGACCCCATCAATATCTTCGTTTTTACAGACAAGGGAATGGAGACCTGAAGACAGTAATTGCCCATGGTGACACAGATAGCAAGCTCTAGAGCAGATTTCTCAAGGGCATTCATGATTACTATTTTATGTTGGTGACTAAATCCTCCCATCCATCTTGGGAATTGAGAGATATCTTAATGTGCCTCCAGAAATCCCATTTGCAATGGATCTGTTGAGGCTTGAAGACTGGCTTCTGTGGAAACAAACACATCGTCCTGATTTGTAGTATTTATTAACTTCCATGGTATAAAAACTCTCAGCAAGGCCAATTTTAAGCCCCAGGATGGTGTCACCAAGTTCAGATCTGGGAGGAAGTGGGCACAATCAGTTCTTGAGAGACTGTTGACCTGGCTCAGTCACACCACTGCCCAAGGGATCATGGGTAAAAGATCGATGTGGACTTTTGAAAGAAAACAAAGTTCCTGGTCTCCTGGATCAAGACTGAGAAACAAAGATTCCTGTAGCTTTTAGAGGAGCAGGCAGAGTGAATAGAGTCAGAGAGGCAATCTCCTAGGCAGGCATGGGATGTACTTGGTATCCACAGCACTTCTAAGAATTAACAGGTATTGGGGCGTTTGGGTGGCTCAGTTGGTTAAGCATCCGACTTTGGCTCAGGTCATGATCTAGTGGTTCGTGGGTTTGTGTCCCGCGATGGGCTCTGTGCTGACAGCTCAGAGCTTGGAGCCTACTTAGGATTCTGTGTCTCCCTCTCTCTCTGTCCCAACCCCCTCAAAAATAAGTAAACATTTAAAAACTTTTTAATAAAAAGAAGAATTAACAGGTATTATTTGCACTTAATATGTGAGAGATGCTTAATAATTAATCACTACTAAATGATCATTATGAGGTCATTAAAAGAGAACTTTGCATTTACATGAAACCCTCCCATCAACTGTTATGGTTAAGCCTTAGGATATTCCAGTTTTCAAGATAAAATAGAAAAGATTTACCCTCTCTGAACAGTTGAAGAAACTGACGCAAAGAGAGGAGAAGTGACTTGATCCAAGTTTGTGCATCAGAGCTAGCCTTGAACCTGGTCATCTGAACCAAAGCTGGAATCCACAAATCTGGGGGTTAGTTTGATCCGGGTGAGGGCATGGAGCAAGTCTGCCTTGGGAGGGTGGTGCTGCTCTCTGTACAGTTAAAGGGGTGGGGGTGGGATGGACAAGACTCCCCAGGGTGGCAGAGGGAGCCAGGTCCCCAGGTGTCCCAGAGGTGAGGTGCTCCCCAGGCACAAGGACTTCAAGGAGAGGTGTCAGTGGATGAGTCTGGCAATGGCTGATCTAAGAAGCTGAGGTCCTAAGAAGGGCTGCCAGCCCAGATCTCACCTAACATGAATCTGAAAATCTAGAAAACCAAAACTTAGGTGGAAGCCTAGAGGGAAATGAATATATATCTGTGTTCTGACCTCTGCCCTTCGCTGCCCATGTCACCTGAACATGTCTCCTCACTGTGCGAGCAGAGAACAAAGGTGGAGTGACTACAAATGTCAAAGAATTTAGGAAGCAAAGACCCTTTGTGGGATTATCAGAAGCTTTCTAACCCAATGTGGACCCCCAGTCTTTCATCTCCTCCTTCCCATTCCCCAACGTAGCCATCTTGTTAAGTTGTTTTTATTTTTAATTTTTAAATTATTACAGACATACAGGAAGTGTCAAGAATGGTAGATAGAATCATTCTGTGAACACTTCACCCGGCTTCCCTGAAGGACGACATCTCTATATAACTAGTACAATATCAAAACCGGAAACTTGACGTGGGTATGATACTGTCAACCAGACTACTTACCCGTTTTCTTATGCACTCCTACATGTTGGGGGGAGAGGGATGTAGTTCAGTGCAGTTGATCCTTCATCTAGAGTCCTATAACCACCCTTAAATAGGATCCAGACTCTTTCATCACCACCAAGAAACTCCCTCATGCCACCCTCTATAGACTCACCCTCTACTCCTGTCCCTGTGTCCTGGCAACCACCAACCTGTTCTCCATCTCCAGGGTTTTGTCATTTTGTGTATGCTATGTAAATGGAATCATACAGCACGCAATCTTTTGAGATTGGCTTTTTTCACGAAGCAAAATGCACTTAACCATGTTGTTACATGTTGAGTTGAATTGTGTCCCTGTCAAATTCACATGGTGAGGTCCTAACCCTCAGTATTCCAGCATATGACCTTATTTGGAAATAGGGTCAGTGCAGATATTAAGATTAGATCCTACTAGAGTAGAGTGGACCCCTCATCCAACATGACTGAAGTCCTTATGAAAAGGAGAAAGTTAGACACAGATAACATGCACAGGGAGAACATCATAGAGGATTGGAGCCAAGCTGTCACAAGCCTCAGAATGGCCAGAAAGTAGGAAACAGGTGGGAACAGATCCTTCGTTACCACCTTCAGAAGGAGAAAGGCCCTATCAACACCCTGATCTCTGACTTCCAGTCTGCAGAACTGTAAGACTGTAGATTTCTGTTGTTTAAGCCATGCAGTCCTGTGGTACTTTATTATAGCAACCCTAACACGACAAATACATTGCATACCTCAAAAGTTTGTTCCTTTTCATTGCTGAGGAATGTTCTGCCATGTGGATGTACGAGAGAGCATTTAACCATTGACCCATTGGAGGACATTTGGATTGTTTCTACTCTCAGGTGATTAGTGAATAAAGCTGCTATCAAAGTTCATGGACATGATTTTGTCTAAACAGTTTTTGGTTCTCTGGGATAAATATCCAAGAGTAGAACTTCTGGGTTAAGAGGCAAACATATGTTTACTTGATAAGAAATTGCCAATTGTCCCATATCGTTAATTTTTATGGTGTGGTAGGCTCCCTGCAGCCTCTGATGAGCACTTCTTCCACTTTTAAACGCTGCAATGGACTCTTGGAGGGAAGGGGGAAGAGGAGGAGGTTGGCGTCACAGCTAGAAGGCATGCAAACATACCAGACACATGGCATTCTGCTAAATTGTGCTGCTGACGATGGCGGTGTGGATTACCCAAAAAAGCCAGAGTCAACGTTGGTTAGCAGAGTGAATTCAACAAATCAGGACTGGGATGGAGCCTTGTTCCCTAAATCCTCTCAATCTGAGGCAGACACACGTACACAAAGAATCTCCATGCAACCGAGAATGACTAGGAGGGCTGGGAATTGTGAGACATGCATAATCCAAAACAGCCAATAAACCCCAAATTATAAGCATTGGGCTCTGAAGTGTATGAAGTCCTTCTTAAGTGCTTCTTACTCAGGGTGTTATTGTCCGGAGCATGAGTAGGCAGCTTGGAGACAGGGCTGAGATGAAAATTTAATTCCAGGCAAACCAGAAAGTGAACCTCAAGACTCAAAATCACCTTTTGATGGTTTGGGCTCCTGGAAATGGAATATGACAGTCGGATTAGTCACAAAAACAAGAAGTGTTTTATTGGATTATCTGGATCATCTGTCTGGTTGAACCCATTTACCCAGGGACAGCCCACCTCTCCCACTCCCTTCTTTTGAAGGAACGCGTTCACCACCCACCAGCTTTCTTTGTCAATCCCTCAATTTTTTTCTTCCTCGCCTTTTGAAGGAACAACGCCTGAGGAATTCAGGCTGGGCCTTGACTAAGGGCTATGGGCAAGTCCATGGCCTTCACAGTCTCTTCTCAATGGAGAGCTTTCAAGGCCCAAATGAGGACTGACTTTGCATTTAATCTAATCACAAAACTTCTCTAAATAAAGTAAACCTCCCTTGCTGTGTCCTGAGAGGAGAAATTTTCATTGACTTAAAACACCCAATGAATGTTTTTCCCCTTGACTTGTCTACTCTACATTTTAGCTTGGGCACAGGATGATAGTTAGCTCTCCAGCATTGATGTTCTCT